GAGTGAGTGCGTTGGAGTGAGTGAGTGAGTGAGTGAGTGAGTGTGTGTGTGTGAGTGAGAGTGTGTGGGTGAGTGGGAGTGAGTGACTGAGTGAGTGAGTGAGTGTGTTGGAGTGAGTGAGTGAGTGTGTGTGTGTGTGTGAGAGTGAGTGTGTGTGTGAGAGTGAGTGAGTGTGTGTGAGAGTGTGTGGGTGAGTGGGAGTGAGTGACTGAGTGAGTGAGTTGGAGTGAGTGAGTGTGTGTGTGTGTGTGAGAGTGAGTGTGTGTGTGAGAGTGAGTATGTGTGTGAGAGTGAGTGTGTGTGCGTTGGAGTGAGTGAGTGAGTGAGTGTGTGTGTGTGTGTGTGTTACCTAGCTGTTTGCAGACGATGGTTTGTGTTTCCGTGTCGTCCTTCCTGGTCAGGATGGAGCCTACTGACCCCTAGAGGAGACATGGAGTATTACAACCAGCCGCATTTCAGCATCATTTCATACAAACCAGTCAAAGTCAGAGTAAAGGCAGAATATGTTCAATGATTAACATAAAAGAACGACTCCTTGTGCAAAATATATCCATTAGAAGTGTTCAACGATGAGCTTTAAGAGTGTGTGTTTCGGGGTGCGTTGAGTTCGCTTACCTTGACGGTTTTGGGGATCTGGTCGACGTACTGCGGTTTGACGATGGCCCGCAGGTCGTCCTCCAGGATTTTGGTGAAATAATTCTGCAGCTCCGAGCCTCTGAAGTACGTCAGGATCTCCTGCCAGTCGGGAGGATTCTGGGAAAACAAACAAGTCACAGAAACCGTCAATAAAACACCAATAACAACAAAACAGGGAGACGGGAACACAGAGGAGAGGAAGTGGACTTTAATGCTGATCGCATGGGAAAGTATTTTATTTGACAATAATATTATCTATTAGTAAAGGAAATTGCCATTTAAACTTTTCTATGTATTGCGATTAGAAACAGGAACATTTGGACCTTAAATTCTGAGTTAAAAGCATTTTATCTGATGCTTTTAATAAAGACTTGTTTAGCCAAACTAAGCTTGGAGTTAATTCCCTTATTTTAGCATTTTTTAAGACATTTTAAAACCAATTAAGGTCTTACTTTAAGATGAATGAACGCAACGCCTTTCAGGAGTTTTTAGGGACGTTTTTCAGCAGACAAAAGCCTGTAGTTGATTGTTGATCAGTAGAGAAAGTGTCAGCTGTGAGTGGCGACACCCTCCGTTATCTCTTCACACAAACATCATATCAGCACCTCACACACACACACACACACACACACACCAGCACCACACACACACACACATCAGCACCTCACACACACTCATACAAAAACCAAAAATTGGGCGTAGAGCATGAAGAAATGTGCCGACTTCTTTGTTACATTTCCAACATTTATTGTCCTGAGTTAAACTCATTTCAAACAATATCTATCCACAATTCTCCACACACACACATAGTTTAACACTCACATCGAACCGGCCCAGGTTTGGTTTCTGTTTTCCAGCGAGGATCTTCAGAGCCGTGGATTTCCCGATCCCGTTGGTCCCGACGAGACCCAGAACCTCCCCGGGGCGAGGGATCGGCAGTCTGACACACACACACACACACACACATTATAACACAATACACAACACAAGCAGACTGAGGTCTCTTTACCTGAACCTCAGGGACTTTTGAGAGAACCTCCATAACATCTGTTTGCAACTCATATATATCAATATTCCAATTACTGTATAAAGACTATTCTGCACTTTCTATTATATTCTATTTTATTGTATTTCCTTGCACTATAATATCTGTGTGTTGTGTTGCTCTGTTGGAGGAGGGGCCTGGGACCTCAGACTGTAGCTATGCACACATGACAATAAAAGCCTTGAACCTGGAAACTAATCGAATATCCGGACGGAGTCAGGTGAGTAATGAATATTTGTATTTAAAAAAAAATTATGGGATGAGTGCCTAAGTTATATATTATGAAATGGATTAATTAAATGTATACGACAGCGCCATTTTAAATATCTTAAGACAAATATCAAAGAGAAAAAAAACACATGTAACGTTACACTCTAAAAAAAAATGTATTATTAACTTTTTTTTTTTTTTTGTAAACATTTAAAAAATGTATTGGATAATTTAATTAGGTAAATCGGTTAACCGTTTTCTTGGGGGTCGAACCTCTCCCTCCCACCTCTCCCACCCCTCCCCTCCCTCTCTCCCACCCAAAGATGGAAGATGATTGAGTCGTCGTACCGGTTTGCAGTTGAGGAGTTGGCGCAGTATCTGTGTGTGGTTTCCTTCACCAGATTACTCGGCAGGTGACGATCGACAGCGCTCCAAACGGACATTTCTATAACCAGAAAACACAAACAGACTTAAAAACATTATTCAATTCCTTTAAATCAGGGGTGTCCAAACTACGGCCATTTTGAATCGGCCCCTCAGCTAATTAAAGAGGAGAGTGAAATCTGGCAAAATGGCACAAATGAAACTTGTTGCTTGTATTGTACTTTAATATATTACACAGTATTCATGTGTTAGGAAGCACAGATTTTAAAGTTGAAAACATGTTTCTAACACATTTAAGTTGATAGGAAAAAAGCCCAACAACGTATTTACATATCAAGCTTGAAATAAACCTTCATATTTCCCTTTATTATCAGCAATCTGAGGCTTTTGATTTAACCTGATAACCCCTGAGCCTGTTTTTCAGGTCTCAGGCTCGAAAATGACATTCCCAGAACAAATGACCATATCTTCTCTTCTAAAAGGGTTAAATTAATAATCTTTTTTCTCAAAGTAATGATAAACCTGTGAGTTGGATGTAGAAAAGTCAGAATCAATATAGATGTTTTTTATTTTAAAGAAAATTCAGATTGAACATAGTAAAAAACTGTAAATTATAGTGTCCGTCCAAATCTTTTTTTTTACTTATAGTGAAAACTACCCTTGGATGATGGGTTAATAGACTAAAAGCTATAGGAATCCAAAGTACAACATATATGAAGTACCCTGTATCAAGATTGATGCAAAACAAGTGACATTTGACCTTTTTAGAGAGATTTAGCAAAAGAAACCACTTCTGGGGTCATTTGGGTGGATTTTCCATATCTCTGGAACCCATTGGTCGATTTTGATGATTGACATCTCTTTGTAACCGTTAGAGCCAATAGAATCGAGAGGGAGTTCCTAAATCCATCTAAACATTACCATGAGGAGTGAGAGTGATGCGCACGGAGTTTACCCAAACCGAAAGCTATGTTACGCTCTGAAAACTGAAAACTAGGCTTATTGATCATAAATGTTATGATGGATTATCAGTAATCATTTCAAAGTGACACAGACACATTGGATTAACCTTCAGCAGCGTTGTAATGCCCTTGAACACAACTTTTGATCAGAAAACAACAAAGGTAAGAAGTATTTGCCGTTTTGGCCCCGTAAAGTGAAGTTGTGTTGTCTTTGCTTGCCTTCGCTACCGTGAGTTATGTGCTAAGTGCGTTAGCACTCTTTCGCTTAGTGCTAATTCAGAGGCTCGGCGTTAGACTTGTGTTTTGTTTCGGTAAAATTGGTTCATATCCTCAGTTAGCTGAGTTTCTTCCTGTTAAGTGGGTATGACACATTAATAGTTTGTTAAATGTTAAGAAGCCCTCAGACGTTGTTTCTTGCAAGATGCTGCCGGTGCACAAAATAAATGAAACCCTCTAGAGAGCTGGGATGAAGGCTGTTGTTTTGCTTAAAGGGGACCTATCATGCAAAATGCACTTTTGTACGTCTTTTATACATGAATATGTGTCCCCGGTGTTCCAGGGAACTCACCAAGTGTCAGAAAACACAACCCTCTCTATTTTCCTCCATACCCAAATCTCTAAAAAAGGGGCTGCAACGGATCTGATAAAAACTGATCCAGATTTGAACACTGTCCTGACGTCAGGACGGTGGCGCTACGGCTATTGGGCCAACTCCACCAATCAGGAGGAGACAGCCACGGCATTGCCGTTCGAAAGCGCTGGAGACGTTGTAGTACATATGCCAGGCCTGTAGATGGTGCTGTTCTCACTGAATCAGCCCTTGCTAAAACAGAGCTAACATTTTTCAAATTGAGCGAAATGAGGCATGGCTAAAATGCATGATCTGTTTGGTATTTTGAAAAATATAGCATGATAGGTCCCCTTTAAAGCATTTTCAAGTATCAAGCCCACAATTGATTGATTTTGCTATCTTATAACTTAACTTATGATAAGATATACCTCTAGTGAGTGGCACAGCCCTTCGTATATTTTTTCTGTATGTGGCCCTCGGTGAAAAAAGTTTGGACACCCCTGATTTAAATCCTCCATTTACTGCCGGCTGAACAAGAAATATCCCACAAATCATTCGATAGAAGAGAAAATTCTGATCAGTTTTCTTTTCTTTATTATTACTGTCGAATTTTATTCCATATTCCATTTTATTTCTTTGTAAATACTGAAATATTTTAAATTATTTCTAATATTTTTTATGTTATTTTGTATGTATGCACCACGACACCAAGTCAAATTCCCCGTACGTGTAACCTGCCTGGTTTCTGACACATTATAATATTAAATACAGTGCACTGTGTGTGTTCAGGCGTGTTTACCTTGATGCAGATGCCGCAGCCTATACACAGAGACTCAGAGATCCAGACGATCTTACTCTGAGGAGTCACCTCGATACACAGCTTACCTGCAAACACACACACATTACAGTCAAATCCAAGCACTTTCCAGGTGCATTTTGAAGGGTTTCAAGCACCTGACAGCTGCAGTGAAGTACAGATTTACAGAATGTGTACAAATATGTATCGTAACAGCGTTTTACAGGAGAACTAAAGCACAAACAAGAAGACTTGCAAAATACAACAAGAAATCAAACAAATAATTTAAATATTTACTGGAAATAAGAAGATTAGACTTTGAGGAAAGCTGTCAATCAGCTGCTTGAGCTTTGATATAACGTCGTAAAAGCCACTTATCTTCCAGTGATGACTTCTGAAAGTAACCCTTATACAACTTCATGATTATTCTTCAAATTTCTCGCTCTTTTTCCCAGTTTTCTAAACCCGTAAATTAGATTTTTGAGTCTACTTTCCCCCCAGGTATGTCTCTGTGTATGTATATAATGGTCCCTCACCCATGCGGACCACCGGGCAGCTCTTCTTGCACTCCTGACGACATTTTTTAGGTTTGCATTTGTCATGATTGACGATGGCGATCCTGGTGTTTTTATCCGCCATGATGGGAGGCTGGAAGGATGGACGCTAGCACCGAGGAGCTGAAGGAAAAACACAGATAGGGATATAAGTTCAGAGAGAAACGTGTACACACATCACAGGGGTTTATTCTAGAAAGATATCATTCAATGTTTACATTTTGTGAGTCTTATGTACACTACCTTCTATTCTGTATACTTGTTTATGTATTTAATATAAATACTCAATACATATATATCCTTATATTCACTGGTGCGCGTATTTGTGTATGTTCTACCGATGATATGTATATCATACTCATATTTCTGGAGTAATTATACCGGTTTTTGACTAACAGAAATATTGTTTTCTGGACACACACACACACACACACACACACACACACACACACACACACACACACACACACACACACACACACACACACACACCACACACACACACACACACACACACACACACACACACACACACACACACACACACACACACACACACACACACACACACACACACACACCACACACACACACACACACACACACACACACACACACACACACACACACACACACACACACACACACACACACACACACACACACACACACCTGCTGAAGCAACACATTTAACCCTGAACAAAAAAAATCGCCTGTAACAAAAGGGCCGCCACTAATCTACTCCCACAGACCTGAAACAGATCCTCACTGGAAACTAAATGTGATGCAACGGTGATCCTGGTTTAATGGATTTTCATTTGAAAGACCTCAATGAAGCTACTGCAAACCAGTCAAGTGAGAAACACTCTCTTTGTTGGTTGAATTAGTTGAGAAGTTATAGTTATTTTTGGACAAATGTACTAGTATTTATATATGTCATACATCTGTATCTTGATCTGGTTTTAATTGCTAGTGTCAGTTTGACAGGCACGAGGAATTGTTGTTGATTGTTAGGTAACTTTATAGAGTCTCCAAAAACAGGGTCTGAGATCTGTATAATAATGTAATTTGAGATTCGAAATTAACTGTAAAACGATAGTTATATTAACAAATGTGCTAGTATTTATATTGTATGTGTGTTGGTTGTTACGTGTGCCGTTAGCTATAATCTGGTGTATATCAACCCTTCTGTTTTTGAGATTAATGATTGGTTCTTGTTCAATAAAGCCAGCTATTTGTTGTTGCTTTGCCACTTTTTTATATGAAAAAACATATATGAAGACAAATAAGGATTAGACAACAACACCCTGATGTCTGTGATGTGTCCTTAAATGACCTGCAGGTGCACAGAGTCACTCATACGCCGAATGAATCGATAATAAAACATATTGAATCCTGACATGTGAGGACATTTGAGTCTGTGATGAAGAAAATGCTATTTATTAAAGCGAATTTGGAGGTTTCTTTAAGATACAGCAGCTATGTTTAACCCACACCGTAATACTATAACTGTGTGGGTTAAAAAGCCACACTTTAAACTGGTTTTTCATGTTAAATACACACATTATAAGAGTATATACAGTATGCTAATATGTTCCCTTCATCATCATGTTAAATCAGGTGTTATAGGGCTTTTAACAACCACATTATACACCGGCAAACACATTTGAATTCAAATACAAGCCGTTTAAATGGGATTTCTGAGAGATTTCAAGCCCCTAAGAACATATTTATAGTGTGTATACAGTATCGTAATATATTCACTTCTTCTTCATGTTAAATCAGGTGTTATTGTACTTTTAACAACCACATTATGTTTCGTAAAAGCATGTTACATAAAAGGTAGACTTTGTATACCGTATTTACACTGAATGAACCAAAATATACAAAGAAATCCAACAAAAAACGTTAACATTTAATGAAAATGTGTAAAATAAGAACATTTGACTTTGAGGATGGCATTTTTTTAGCCTTTCTTCAATGAATTGTACACAGCATAATATTCAAATCCACTTGAGATCACGTAGTAGTGTTGAATCAACTCAACATGGGTCTTAAAGTGGGATAAAAAGCAGTTTTTATGACACATTTAACGCTATTATGTGCCGTTAAATTCACACGTTAGAAGCTATTAATATGGCTACTGTTATTAATACTACTGTCTATCCATCTACTGACGTCTATATATGTATATGTGAGTTATATACATAATATAATGCACATTTAAAACATTGAGATCTTAAAGTGGGTTAAATATGAATAAAAAAGCCACATTTTAAGCTTTAAGCTTCACACATTATAACCGTTGCTAACGGTTAGCTTAGCGTCAGAGGCCTCGCACTTTGACAGATGATCGGTGTAAGGGTTAAATAAAACACCTAAAAACGGCACAGAATCCACGGGTTTGAGAGACAAACTCACCCCACTTCTGCTCCCGTTACTCGGTTGAAGAAACAACGGGAGAAAAACGATGTTTCGAGGCGAAATATTGAGAGAAAAAGTTATGAAATCTTTCAGCAACGTGTTCTTCTCGAGCCGGCTGAAAGATGGCGCGAGGGGGCCGACGCAAACACTGTGCGACGACACAGGCTGTGAGGGTGACGTCATTTTTCCTGGACCAGTTTAATTTAAATTGTAATTAATAAGAAGTCCTTTTCTGTGGCAACTAGAAAGAAAACGTATTTTCCACAAAGATTAAAACTATTTCTAAAATAAGATGAGATCTGAGTACCTCTCCAGTCCGTGTGTAGGAGATATTTAGAGTACTCAATGTATTCAATACATCCTTATATTGTGTATTATATAGATACTATAGGGTCTTTTCTAGTGTGAATTACTTTCTGATAATGTTCATTTGAATTAAAAACATTTAATTTAAATCATTATTCTTATTCTTACCATATATACTTGTATTTGTTCATTTATCAATTATAACGTTTTTTGTATTTTTCAACTTTACATAAAATTGTAGATTTTAATTTTGTTTTGTAATACTTTATTTTTAAGTCGTTAACACATTACAACAAAAGCATACAACATATAGAGGCAATACATTACATGAATATGTTCACAGCAATTAGTCCAGTTAGTATGGGGCTCACAACACAAGACAAGGCATTGCACATTGGGGAAATTAAAAGACTACAAATCCAAAATGTAAACATCTCAAATAAAAATAAAATAGTATTAAAATAGTAGAAAATATGTTGTCATACAAATTTACAGAAACAAAATATAAAGCAAAATATTACATATACATTAATTGTCTAAGGAATGGATTATTAAATATTAAATTGAGAATACATGTTACAGTGGGAGTTTAAGTCCAGTTATCCAAGATCCATACATACCTATTCTCTATTAAATTATTACTAATATTAAACTCATCGCAGGTCCTTTAAATACACCCAGAAAGTGTGAACAGTCCTCAAGATTGTTCATGTTTTCTTGCGCAAAGTGTACAATTCTTTGTGCACGCTTATTTTCAGAACATTTTAAACAAATTATCCTAATGCAAAGTGGTGGGGACAACATTTGTCCATTTCCAAAAGTTCCAAAAGAGATGGGGTCCCAAGCGTCCCCAGTATAAATGCCGCAGATGGTTAGAATGTCTTCCCGTAGGAAACGTAGGTTGGAACGTCTTCCCGTAGGAAACGAAGGTTAGAACTTAGGAAACGAAGGTTAGAACTTAGGAAACGAAGGCTAGAACGTCATCCAGTACGAAACGTAGCTGCCTGTAGAAAGGTTGGAACGTCTTTCCGTAGGTAACGAAGGTTGGAACGTCTTCCCGTACGAAACGTAGCTGCCTGTAGAAAGGTTGGAACGTCTTTCCGTATAGGAAACGAAGGTTGGAACGTCTTTCCGTAGGTAACGAAGGTTGGAACGTCTTCCCGTACGAAACGTAGCTGCCTGTAGAAAGGTTGGAACGTCTTCCCGTATAGGTAACGAAGGTTGGAACGTCTTCCCGTAGGTAACGAAGGTTGGAATGTCTTCCCGTAGGAAACGAAGGTTGGAACGTCTTCCCGTAGGAAACAATGTTTTTTTACAGAATAACCGGAATAAAATGTAGTTATAATGTGGGAAGAAACACCACAGCACCTGGTGTAAACCCGGTTTGAAATGATTGACAGTTTAAGAGACAAAAATAAAGTGAAGTTGAGTGCGAGGACTCGGAGTAAACGAAAGATATCAAGAGGTTTTTTGCAGAATAACCAAAGCAAGAGGTTGTAATGCGGGAAGAAAGCAGAGCACCTGGGGTAAACCCGCTTCAAAGATTAAAGAAAGAAAAGAAAGTGGATGAAATCACGGTAAGAAGATTAGCTTTGGCTGCGAGAGTCCTTCTTCTCCTCAAGCATTTTAAGAGATGCGTCTCTCTGATCACTCAAGTCCTTGTTCTGTGCATTCACGGCGTTTAATTTGTCCGACAACCTGGTTTTGTTTTCGGTTCTGATTCGATCGTGAATCTCGTCGATCCACTTTCTCAGATAGATGTTTTGCGACTCGATGGACTGGATCTTTTTCTCCACGGATGGCATTTCGCTGTGAACCTTCTTCAAGCTTCTCAGGTCTCTCTCCATCGATTCAGCCAGGTTGAGCAGAGCTTTCTTTTCTTTCTGTATTGTTTTCACGTCGGCCTTTAAGTCACTCAGGGTTTTGGGTCTGTCTCTGAACGACTGGATTTCCTTTCTGAGTCCGTCGTGATGCAGCTCTATGGCGTCCGTTTGTGTTTTCAGCTGGTCGTGTTTGTCCTTCCACTGTTCCTCTTTCAGAACTCTTTCATGGACTTCTGCATGTGTCTTAATCAGGACTTTGTATTCGGCACGAAGTTCGTCCTCGAAAGCTTCCAGTTCCAAGTAGCTGTCCTTGAACTCTCTCTGTAGCTCGAGCTCTTTGATGCTCTCCTTCACGTTGTCGTTCTCTCTCTTCAGGTCCTGATGTTTCGTCTTCAGACACTCCAGTTTTTCCCGCAGAGCCTCAGTTTCACAGCTCTTGACTTCGACCGCCTGTTTTGTCGCGTTGTACTTTTCACGCAGGGCTTCTTCCTTCTCCAGCTCTGTCTCAATCTCCTGCATCTCGTGTTGCAAAGCTTCGTTTTCCCGACTCACCGTGTCTTCCTTTGCTTTCAGGGCTTTTTCTTTCTGATCGTTGGTCATGCCGCTGCATTCTGGATCTGCAACGAGTAGCTCTCTCTGCAGAGCTTCCTTCTCGCGGGTCTTGTCTTGTTGGAACACTTTTAGTGCGGTGTATTTTTCCTTCATGTATGTTTTACTCTTCAGCTCTACGGTTATATTGTCAATCTCACTCTGCAAATCCTTATTCCCTTTGATAAGAGTGTCGACTTTTGCGATCTCGTGAGCTTCGTCTGGAATCCAGAGAAGCCGAAGCCTCTCTTTCAGACGATCTAATTCCTCCTTCTTGGCCTCGTTATCTTGCAGGATTACTTTTTTCAGCTGTATATTATGTTTGAGCAGATAGTCTTTGGGATCTTTGATGACCCTTTTCATCTCAACTAGTTCTTTACGGAGATCATCTCGCTTTCTTTCCAAAGCTTTACAAACCGCGACTTCTTCGTCATCGATAGCCTGCTTTTGCAGCGCTTCCTGATATTGTGGTTGCACATTTTGACACTCGATCTCCAAAGCCGCCGTGTTTGTTCTCAGTTCTTTTGACAGCAACACACACACACACACACACACACACACACACACACACACACACACACACACACACACACACACACACACACACACACACACACACACACACACACACACACACACACACACACACACACACACGCACGCACACACACACACACACACACACACACACACACACACACACACACACACACACACACACACACACACAGAGAGAGAGAAAGAGGAGCTATCCCGGGATTCCACCGCTGCGGTTTTGTTCCGACCTCCTTTTTCATGTTTGCACTTTAAATTTGCAAAAGTAAACTAGCGCTATCGATATCGATAGCGATAGCGCTATCGATATCGGCGATACTGGCCCTGGAATAATTGGAAGGAGGAGGTTTGGTTTCTTGGACGCTGCAGTCCGGCGGCTGGAGGGGAAAGAGAAATGTAAATAATTATTATTATTAAACTGTCTCCCTCGGGTGTCAAACTCAATTTCATCTCGGGCCACATCAGCATTAAGGTGGAACTCAAAGGGCCGGTTGTAACTTTAAGACTATATCAATATACATATATAATCTATACAAAATAATGTCTTATATTACATTATTGCCTCTGCATTGGATTATTATCAGATAACTTAAAAATGAACTACATCTGAAAGCAGAAGTCTCGGGCAAATAATTGCAAGTCTCTTCAGTGTGCATGTCACAAAATGAGATGCATTGTGGGACATGTAGTTTATGGGCGACGTGCTTCTGTAAAGCAGCATTATATTCTTTGCAAGCTCTTGCGGGACACATGAAATGAAGACTTCATTCAGAACAAACTCAAGAAGTAACAACACATTTTGTTTCCTTCTGACTTACATGTGGTCTTTGAAACTTGAGTTTCAGGAAATATCCAACAGACAGGACCACCAAGATGAAGATAGACAGAACCGGGAACCAGAACCAATAGGACCGGCTTCCTGCTGTGAGAAAACCCAAACAGACCAAACCTTCAGTAACTGCCACACAACAGACCGTCTTAAATAAACTCAAAATGCTGAAACTCTTCACTTTTTTCTCTCCTTCTTACCTTTAACACCAGTTTCATTTTATAAAACAAATTTACATTTTATAAAACAAAATGAGATTAGCAAAACACTTTTACGAGAACTGAGACAAATGTACAAGTCCCGAAACACTTTAACATTTCCCTTAACATTTTAACATGTATAATAATGGCGCTCCATATATGACAGATTTTTGTAGACAAAGGATACCTGCCTACGCTGAAATATCAAAGTCTCTGCAGAGCATGACACATGACCAAAAGACTGAGACCAAATGACCTTTGACTCTGACTGACAGTGTTACTTGAGAAAAGCACTGTCAATGACTGACTGGGGTGTACCTGACCAAACTTGACTTTACAACCAGACCGTGTGAGTGTGAATGTCTGTCTGCATGTGATCAGTGTAACTGCATGATTATAGAACAATAAATAACCAAGCATGTTTTGGACTGATTTTGGGGCTTTGTGGGAAACGAGAGGGTTCCTAAATTCCACAAGCTGGAAAACCGCACATATGCCATTTTTGCATCCACAGGAGGTGGAAATTCAGTGTGGGGCTCAAACTACATCTCAAGATTCTGTTTTTAGGACTGGTTGAAGGAGAGAAACACGCCTTCTCACTGAAGTATTTATTGTTGTAATAATAATGATTTTTTTTCCTGCACAGGATGTTTTTACACATATGTAGATGTGTAAAAGGGGGGAGTAGCCAATAATGTCAACATGGCTGCTCAATTCACAATTTAAAATGTTCATTGAATTATAACAGGTAAAGGCGATGCAGTAGCAGTGGCCAAGGTGTTACTGTGAGACATTTTATGACAGTATGTTGGATTTCTGCATTCGTTTTTATGCTTG